GTTTTAGACATTTCAACTCTGGGAAAAAGATTCTGACTGTCAACCCTATCTATGCATCTCATAATTTTATAGACCTCTATCAAGTCTCCCCTCAGCCTCTGTCGCTCCAGAGAAAACAACTTGAGTTTTTCTAGCCTGTCCTTATAACTCATAAAGGCTGTCTAAAATCATTTCAGTTTTGTCTATTAAATTGATAGAATTGGAAATTGGTAGACTTTCATTCAATCATATGTCAAGAACTCAAAGCTGATTCCAACCTTCTCACTGAACTTAAAAGCCTTATAGCACTGCCTAGTTTCTGGCAACATTTTTCTGTAATGCAGGCAGCATCCTGGTAAACCTCTTTTGCACATTCTCCAAAGCCTCCACATCCTTCCTGTAATGTGGTGATCTGAACTGAACGCAGTACGACAAGTGTGGCCGAACCGAAGTGTTATAAAGCTGAACAGATCACTGACCTCTTCTTGCCTGCAGTGCCAAGCATTGAGTTTCACCTGGACATTGCACTAATTTGGGGCTTTGTACCAGCTGGATGGGTGTGCTGGTGTAGTATCCATTGCTGGTCAGCAGAATAGAGTACGGCTTTCCTCTACACTACAGTAGCAAGGCATTGGCAGGGTAATACTGGCATGAGTTCAATTGGCCTGTAGTTATTTATTGACCTGTGGTGGGCAGGTTGCCCATTCCAATGCCCATCCACCACATGCTCTCCATTATGGGGCTGGTGTTGGGTTTGGACTGCAGATGGTAAGCTTGCCACCTACTCTATTTTACATTCCCCAATAACAAAAACAAACCTTACAGGGAATATCCCATCACTACAAACTATCTGAGAAGAACCAAAGAGAAATAAAAAACAGTGATACTATTTAAAAAGAAGTTGGGAGTACTCCTTATGCCTTGTTTAATTACATGTTCATTGTGTTTGAATGTATGCAGTTTGTGGGCATTAAGTGGAGATTCATCTGTGTTCCTATAAACAGAAACAGATTGAAAATGGGTTGTGAGTAAAGAGATGCCCATTTATAATGTAAATGTATGTAAATAAAGTTTGGCTCTGGTTTACCCTTAGCCACTTTATTTTCTAGCATTGAATATTTTGGCCAATTTTTATCCCTCAGCGAAAATCACTACAACAGATAATCTAATCATTTATCTCTCTCACTTGTGGTATCTTGTAAACAGACTGGTGAATTTCTCTACATTTCAACAGTGGCTATTACTTAAATATACTGACTTGGCTGTCAGATTCTTTGGGATATCCTGGGAAGCTGCGAATTAAACTCTGTAACATTCTACGACATGCAGACAGCAGGGCAATCAAATATTAAGGACAAAGTTACAAGTAAAACTGAACATGTAATCAAGCAAAATTTTAATATGTTCAGTTCACCTTCATTGATCAAAATCCCATTTGAGTATATTATGTTGTCAGTAGCTATTTTCCCATGGAATTCAATTTATGATCCCTGTGGAGGTGAAATTACAACTGAAGAAAGGATGACTTATTTGTCTACTGAGGCAAGGGTATTATGTGATTAATGCAGGGTAACCTTTGACAATGGAACATGTTTATTCTGTAAATGACCCCTGTTTGAAGAGTGGTGTTACTCAGTTTACTTGGATAAGAATGAAACATAAGGTTCATGACACTGCACTAAGGCTTCAATGGAGATATCACTTTTAAATCCTGTTTGCATTGCAGAAGCACTTTTTTTTCCCAACAGGATAGTTTCTTCAGGCGCCATCATCAAAACAAGCACATATGTCATTGATTCCAGAGATGTATATGTTTAACTGCAGCTGAAAAAACAACATCTGACATCTCAGCTGTGATAAAAAAATGGATACTTCTTTGAGGTTCACTTTACTGAACATACCTATTTAACTTCAAACTCACTTTAGGGGAAAGAATAAAGTAAGAACGTCTATCAGTGCTATCTTTAAGCACCACTAAAGGCTTATGTGACATCACAGTACTTGGATAAACAGCTACTGCCCTCAAACTCTCCCACCAGTCAAACTCTTTTTCTCTAACTAGATTACAATTACAGTTGAGGCACCTGATGAAATTTGACAACATACTTATGTCATTAAAATAATTTGTATTCATGAACACAACAGCCAAATAGAATGCTAGGCAGTAATCTAACAATCTAACAAAGGAAGAGTGTTGACCACAGTATAATGGGATATTAGAATGTAGAAGACAGTTCTGAAAATGATTCACATTTATCTCCTTCTTATACAGACCCTCAAGATGAGAGATGGCTTTCTTTGCTCTAATATTGTGGGTCCTGAGGTGGCAAAACATTCCAATATTGGGTTCACACACCTTGCCGCTGATCTGATTGTACTCTTGACTCCACTTTCCTGCCTTCCAACTTTCATCTTTGACTTGCTTGTAAATCAAAACTCTGTCTAACACATCCTCGAATATAATCAACGACTCACCCTCCATTGCTGTCCTGGTAAGATAATTCTAAAGACTAAAAGCCTTCTGAAAGAAGAAATGTCTCCACATCACACTCTTAAATGGAAGACTCCTCCTTATAAACTATGTTGGAAATTTTCCTGAGGGGTATTTACCCTGTCAATAATAATAAATATATTCCTACTAATTAAAGGGAAGTGATGTCCTCTCAGTTAAAGATTACATTGTTCAGAATTTATGAACAGATTCTTTAACTTAATTAAAATACTACCTCCAATCTTTAATGTTGCTCTGACAGCAACTTTAAAAAGTCATGCCCAATAAATTTAAGCCACTAAAATGGGGCTAGGAGTCACAAAATTAATTAATGAGAAGTGAAGGTGAAGTAATTATTACATCAAATTTCAACAGATCAACAGCTAAGTTGATGTATCAAAGTTAGGTACTTGTGAGTTATGTGTTCATATGATAATAGTCACCATTACATCTATTCATTGGCCAGGATTCTGCCAACAGCTTGCTGGTTCTGATTTCATAACCAGAGACTTGCACCATTTCACTGTTTTCTCTGGGATTACAATTAAAATTTCTAAATGCCGGCAGCGTAAATGCAATATGTATAATGTTAAGCTTTGTAAGCACCTCTCTGTGGGATACGGCTAAACTTGAAAGCTCAGCTGAGGCTCTCTTCTCTGCATGGTGAAGGATATTGTCCAAGTTCACACTCAGTGGGGATAATTGAAACACTGTAACCCTGCAATGACTCTGTCAGACAACATCCTTAAAAGGTCACACATTTGTTCAATTCTGATACCTTTCTTACTTTGACTGACTCTCCCCAACCCTCTGCAACCACACCCAGGACAGCAGACCTTTCCTACTTCATCGTCCATGCCCTTATAATCCCATTCCACTCCACAAATTCCCTCACTCTGACTCATCTGTGCCATCCAAAGCCTCCATAAAACTATCATTCTACTGTACACTCCCGTCTGCCAATGGGTTTAACAAAGTCAGCTTTCAATCTTTCAAACAAATGCACAAACCTGGCTGGTACATGCCATTATTACACAAACATGAAATTTACAAAATTTGTATAAATTGGTCAGTCGTGATATCCCACCATGGCAGCTTGTGGAATTTAAATTCAATTAAATCTACAATCTAAAGCTCGGCAAACCATGACAGTTATCTCAGATTGTTTCAAAAACTAATCTGGTTCACTAGAAACATTGGAACAGGTGTAGGCCATTCAGCCCCTCAAGCCTGTTCCACCATTCAATAAGATCATGCTGATCTGTGGCCTAACTCCATGTACCTGCCTTTGGCACATATCCGTTAATACCTTTGACTAACAAAAATAAATCTATGTCAGATTTAAAATTAACAACTGATCCTGCAACCACTGTGGTGCGTGGAAGGGAGTTCCAAACTTGTATCACCCTTTGTGCTTCCTAAAATCTTTCCTGAACAATCCGGCCCTATTTCTAAAACAATGCCCCCAGTTCTAGAAGCCCCTTTTGGGGATTCCTTTAAGGAAGGGAATCTGTCATTCATACATGTTCTGGCCTATGTGCGACTCCATATTGACAGCTATGTGGTTAACCCTTAACTGACCTCTAAAATGGCTAAGCAAGCCACTCAGTTCAAGGGCAGTTAGGGGTAGGCAACAATCCTGGTTTTGCCAGCAATGTCCACGTCCTTTAAAAGAAGATAAGATATGTCAGATAGACTTCTTAGGCAAGCCTTAAAGATATGGAACTGAGAATTAACTTGGAATAAAACAAGATGGAATAGTTGAAACAAAGTTCATATATTTGATATTAATTCATGTAACATGAGGATAGTATTTGAATTTTACACAGAGTTTATACAGAACCTCACAATAAAAATACTTCCCCTATCTTTTCATTTGTCTACGCATGATACAATTAAGTTCCAGTTATTTGCCAATTATTTTCCTCTGGTCAATTATACATTACAATATTGTACTTACAGCGTATTAGGAGCAACTTTATTAAATAGACAGAGAGCAGACCTTAACCAATTCCTTTTGCAGGATGGAACAAAGCAACTTCTATATACATGGTAAATAATAAAAGATCAGATATAAACAACAGATGTATTTCTGGACTCCTTGCTAAGGTGTTTCTAGCATTGTATAAACACTCAAGTAGTGCGGAGTAGAATAACATTGCTTCATCGGAGGCTCCACTGATGATGTCACCGAGCATGGGGACAAAACATCTGAACAAAAACAAGCCAGTTCAGTGAGCAAGTCAACAATCTCAGTGTCAACTTGCTTCGATCAGAACTGAGTTGGTGGTGTGTGTATGTTATATGTTGTATATATTATGCATCTATGATTAAACACTAACCATCTATTATTCATGTAAACAAATGGAATAAAATACGAAAGGTAAAGAATGTTATTCTTCTAGTTCCGTGCTTTAGTCACAGAGGGGACTTCAGCAGTGCATTGTGTATAAATTTCATTAAACAGATGCTTCCAGCTTAGTTGCAGCAATAAACAGATTCCATAAAGTCTCTAAGATCATCTACTTACCTTCACATTTCTGAGTTGTTTCACTCTGTTTGTGACCAGCAGGACATTTGCATTCATAGGAGCCAACAGTGTTGATGCAGCTTCCACCTTGGCACATGCCTGGGATTGCCTGACATTCATCAACATCTGGAAGAGAGCAGCACTTCAGTTCCATAATCTGTGAATCAGTCAGACTGCACACATAGTAACATCTGCCTTATGTAAACACCGCCACAATAACCACAATAGTTGCTGGATCTGAAGAAAGAGAAAGATGAAGTCTTCTATGAAACTGTTTAAGTTTGTTTTGTCAAAATTAGGTTTCATACCAGGTTCTCATTGAGATAGATTTCAGATCCCTTCAAGTCTAAAATTATTGAAATTTTTAAATTGTTATATACAATGATTTATACCAAACACTCAGTTTCACCTTATGAGAAAATGGACTTCTTTTGTGGAAATTCTGCATCATTTCCATCAGTAATTTAAAACTATCCCTAGCACGGCCATTTTCCAATCTGATATTTGTAAGAGTTTCTCTGCATGCAAAGTTTTTCTAAAAGCACACTAGCAGTGATTCTGCCTTTCAGAAGAAACCAGAAATCAATGTTCCCTCCAATGCCTACATGATCATCTCCGGTTTTGGTTTCCTATTTATCATTTCTCCCGGCAAGTTTTCACAGGCACACCAGTGATGCTTAATGTATCACTCTACATTCTAGAGAAAACTTTCCAATTGCTTGAGCAACTGCAAGTCTGGGTGAGTGACATTTATACCCAGCTCAGCATCAACAGAACTGAAGAATTATGTGGTTCTGGTTCAGCTCCATTAACCTCCCAGTGCCATCTAGATTATTCTGATAGACACAACTTTGCGAATGCTCTACCTTATGTCTGGTCTATTATCAACATATATTTCTTTCATGTTGGACACTGGTTTTGATTTTCCTTCTTCTATGCAGGCACAGGGACAGAGCTGTGCAAATTTGTAGACATTACTGACGTATGAGATATAACAAATAGTTCTGAAAACCAGTGAAGACCTGTAAAGGAATCAACAGATGGAATGGGTTTTAAGCATGAACCAATTGTGTTGTACTTTAAAACCGGTGATAAATGTACTTGGATCTCTGCAATGATTATAGTTACACAAGAAAATATGATTAGGCTCTGACAATTTTTGAATCAGAACTTTGAGCTGCAAACTATAATGTTTGTAAGAGATAGTAGGAACTGCAGATGCTGGAGAATCTGAGATAACAAGGTGTAGAGCTGGATGAACACA